TATATTTGTATTATTGTTGGAATAGGGTTTAAGCTTTCTTTAGTTCCCTTTCATAGATGGAGTCCCGATGTTTATGAAGGAGTGTGATTCGTTTAATTTTTTTTTCTAAGGCCAACACTCTCCCACACACCACACACAACCAACTCTCATGAATTCACACCCGTGTTTGGTCACTATAGACCCTATTAATAATACTGATCGGGGGTATCAAGCGGACTATCACAGCCGGTTGGCGGCACTAAGTGCGCCACAGGTGGTCATGGGGCTCGAACCCACGACCTCCTACATGCCACTTGCGCGCTTAACCAATTGAGCTAGGCCGCTGGACATCGTTTTTTTTGTCGTTGCCCGCTTCCTAACCTGCCTTTTTAAACCATTGCCCCTTCCTAACCTGCCTTTTTAAACCACCAGTACTTCCTAAAGGCGTGCCCGTTAACGCGCCATGATTTTAGGAAACGTATGGGCCACTACAGGAGCGCCCAAATTCATCCCGGGGCCGATAGCTGGCCAAAGTACTGATGGCTTAAACGATTTCCCTCTGCGGAATGAGCCGGTTGTGTAACATGTGTTAACTGCCAGCGCAGACATGTTGCTTTTGAAATCTTCTCCCCTTTTTTGGAGCATTTTTGTTTTATTCGGTGTCTTAACTGGATTTTCCGATGTTTTTTTTTCTTTTTTGTTGGGTTACGTACACGGTCTTCTTGTGTGCCAGGTGCAAGAGATTGAGGGGAAGGCCATTACTCTGGAGGATGCTGGTGAAGTTCGGCGAATCGAAGAAAAGAGTGGGCATGATATCGGAAAAGGCAGTCTCCCGGCGCGAATGCAATCCGCAGCGATGACCAACATCAGGGAGAATATCGTACCAAGCAGCGATTTGAATAAGCGTGGCTTGCGAAGCGAAAAGGAGGCAAACAAAGAGAGTGCCAAGTTGGCAGCGACAGGTTCCAAGGAGATGAGGACTAAGAACACAAAGCTACGAGGGTAGCGTAGGGTAGCACTGCACATTGCCTTCTCCTCCCAGGGCGTTGGGTCTGAAACTAACTTTTTTTCTTTTTTCTCTCGCAGAGGGATGGGGGCGGGTGGCATTCTTCCTCCACCTCCTTTTTTTTTTTTTTTTTTTTTTTTTTTTTTTTTTTTTTGAATGAATGAATGAATGAATGAATGGAAGGAAGGAATGGAGGGATGGTGTGAATGCAATTCTGGGGTAAAGGTCGTGCTTACGTGGGTGATGTTGTTTCTGTCCATTGGTATGGTGGAGGATGGTTGAAGAAGGCAGGTAATAAAAAGAGAGCCTTACCGAGGGGACCCCACAAACGGTGTGTGGGTGCCGGGCCTGGTTCCTTGCATTGTAAATAAACTTAAGTCTATTTCGTTTGGGAAACTTGAAGGCAAAAGTGGCCAATGTACAGTATGATCTCCCAGTACGGTTTAATACAATGTGAGTGGCCAACGTACAGTATGATCTCCCAGTACGGTTTAATACAATGTGCGAGCATTCCGTTTTTTTTTTTTTTTTTTTTTTTTTTTTTTTTTTTTTTTGCGTGTGTTCGTGTGTCAGTTTCTCGGTGTTTCAGTCTGTGTGTGTGTGTGTGTGTGTGTGTGTGTGTGTGTGTGTGTGTGTGTGTGTGTGTGTGTTTTGTCATGTTAGCTATACACAGCTCCACAACAAAAAGCATGCGACTTTCACTCTCTTTCGTGTGTGGGTGTGGGTGGCAATATTGTGTACAGTGCGTAGTGATGCATGATTGCAAGTGGCACAGGTCCTGGGAGGGCCAGGCTCCCCAGGACAACAACCATCAGTGGTGGTATAGATTCAATGTTGTTGTCCGACAGGTCCCACAGATTCACATTGTGCTCCTTCCCTATTGAGGTCCCAAGATGCTCCCCCCACCCCTCCCCTGCCCTGCCCTTTTTCCCACTCTCCATTGGTGGTTTTCCTATAATGTGGCGGTCCTGTGCCTTTCTTGAGTTCTCTCTCTTATAACCCCCCTCTCTCTTTTAGGACAACAATTCACACCAGCACTTTTCTAACTCTATCTGGTTATGGCCCAACCTGGATGCATCTGACTGCAATCGCGTCTGGAGTGGGGTCAAACAAGTCCTGGCGTGGGTATGCCCTAAAGCAGAGCGATCCATTCGGATGGATGCTGTGAGGATCTGGGAGCTTTATGATTATTATAATGACAGCGCTATATCTGACTACCATGATCATGATGGTATGGGTTCTCTGAACTTTCTGAGAAGACTCACTGACAGGTCATCATGGAGGATCTGTCACAGGAATGCCCATTTTGCCCAAAAGCCTCAATATTCTGAATTTTCAATTCTTGTGTTTTTTTTTTTCAAGTTTGCACGGGATTTTTAACGTAGCAAGGGTTCGTTTCCTTTCTTTTGTTTGGATAGAGGGGAGGGAGGTGGGTAAGGGAGGTCGGGGGCGGGGAAGGGGTTTGGCTATTTGCTGTCGATGGTGATATCCGGGTTGACTTGTATGACGACTGTCTGCCTCGAACAGTCCAGCTGACGCCTTTTTGAGACTAGAAGTTTAACTGTTTAAGTGGTTTTCCTTTCCAGCAGCAGACAGAGCTGTGTGTGTCACTGGCAGTGCGATTGCCAAGCCTAGCGAGTATTTTCAAGTATATTTTGCATGTTTGTGTTATGGTGTGAATGTGTGTGAATGCAGTCCATTCATTTGTTGGATGTCGACTCCTAGCTGGAAACGCAGATGGAAGTGTGCGCATGTGCATGCCTGCTCAATGCTCATACAATGCCTGCTTCCTACCGCCTTCCACTGAATGCAGCACACCGTCATTATGATGACTGCACGGGGCATCTTCAGTGTCGTGTGAGTCTGTGCAGCGCTGCATGTCCGGCACATCAACCATACTAGTATCAGCAAGCATAGAGCGTACTCACACAGCAGTGGCAGTCTAGCGAAATCTGCTGAATTTTCTTTCCCATGTTTGCTGAAATCATACCCCGCCTGGTCACACGTGGGTTGCAAATCAGAAAGGACACGAGCGGGAGGGACTCTCTGGCAATTGTCTGGCAATTGCAAATTTAAACTGGTGCCTCGCATGGTCACAAAGCGCGGAAATTTTCTTTTACGAATTGAATTTCCCAAAAGGCGAAAGAGAATTTGTCACCCCCTCTCGAGGTGGTAGCAAAATGCCCATCCCCATGCCCTCCCAGGCTGCTGACAAATGCTACCCCCCTTGCAACCCTAGTGTGAACAGCATAGCAGATTTTGCCATTTAGCAAAAAAAAAAACGTTAGTGTGAGTAGGCCCGTATGCCTATTTTGTTCCTAGTGTACAATACGGTCCTACCAAACCAAGAAGGTAGTAGAGATCAGTGCTCGACGGTGTCCCAGTCGTCCCACTATCCGATGCAGTATGCACGTCGCCAGAGGGTCGCTCCAAAATCATAGATGAACACTGCTTGAATCTCTATAGGAATGTGTCTAAACTCAACCCAGTAATGCTCTTCCATCAGTTGTGCACGCCGCTCATCTGGTCCTTGTCGTATTGGCGACCATGGGTATATTTGGACTTCTGACTTGTGGCATTGCAATTTTTTCCACTTTCTTTTATCGACTGCGTGCCGGTGCCATCTGGATAGGCGACGAGTTTCTTTTCAGCGCTGGCGCTGACTTTTCTGGATAGGCAACGACTCTCTTTTCTGTGCGGGTTCCGACTTTTCTGGATATGACGAGTTTCTTAGTAAGGCTGGGGCCGCGTACTAGCGGTTTGACATGTATACTATTCGGCGGATTCAATTGTTGTTTGACAGTTTGTGTCGGCTACTGATGACAGGATAGGAACGGTGAATGGCTACCAAGTAGTGCCAACAATACTAGTATCTACTATTGGTATAGCATACTGTATAGTGTGTGTGTGTATATATATATATAGATATAGTACAACTCTATAGATATAGAGAGAGAGAGAGCACGTGTCGGGTGAGAGTGTACGACGTGTATGTACATATGAAAATTTGAATCGCTTCAAATATGCAATAGATATTATAACTCGAAATCATTCCAAATATGTAGTAGGTGTTGAAATTTGAATCATTTCAAATGCAAGGCGCAGGAAGCTGTCTATGATGTCTTACTGGAATGGAAAAACAATAGCCGTCTATACTAAGGAGCAAGGTGTGTCCACCACCAACACTACATAATAGTATGTATCTAATTTGTCTCTGAACTATACTATGGCTTCATCCGTTGCGGTTTTTATTTTTATATGTGAGAATTTTGGCTCGCCACTTCTGTGCACATGCGGGGTATAATTACTACTAATCAATGTAATCATTCTATATTGACGATATATATATATATATATATATATATATATATACCTTGTTGAAAATCAGATGGTACTATATATAGGCTGTGATAGACCTTTCTTTGTTTCGTGGATGTTTTGCTGGCTTGTGATGG